TGTTTTCTTCTGAGGCATTTGGGACTTAAAAGCTTTTTCTAAAAAACAGAAACTCTTCACTTGGGCCTATTGAGGTATAATGAATAACTGAAAGCATTACAAAGTTTCCCATTCAGTTGTTTCTGCCTTTATTACCTTAAAACTGTGGGTCACATCACTTTTTTCTCTCACAACAGCATGTTAGCCTTGTATGGAGTGTCTGTCTGCAAGCGACAACACAGGGCTGAGCAGAGCTGTATTTACACAACCCATCTCCTCCCCTTCAACACAGAGGTCACTGTGATAAGAGATTTACAGGGACATTCAATTATTGATGTTTGCCAGAAGTCTCTGTCACTGCATTAAGCCAACCATGGAATATAGCAGAAACTGAAATAAGACAATGCCAACCAGAAATGAGTATGTCATAGAGATTGGATTTCATCCTCTAATACTAAGGACTTCTCTAGAACCATTGTAAAAAGCCCAAACTAAGACAATGATCAACCTGAGCCCAGCCACCCACAGCCCTTGTATAAAATTTGGACTCATTCCTTTGTGGCCATGGCTGATCCCTTCCATCAAAACAGTACTTCAGCTCCTCAAGTTAAAGTCCCTCTCCCCTTTTCTCTTACTTTCTAACTCTGCCTAATGAATCAGCCCTTGTCTCTCACTGACCCTTCCTGACATCCTTTTCTGCAATGAGACATCAAGAACCTGACTGGGCTGAGTTGAGTCCACATCTCCTCTTGGGTTGGGGGATTCCTTTGATGCTGTGCAGTGCAAGTGTCAAATTCAGGTTAGTTCAAAGCAAAGGCAAAATACAGGACAGTTTGGAGAGGGAGGATTGGATGTTGGGTGTGAGACTGTGTATAGCTGTGTGGAATAGGGCATGGGCAGTGTTGCCATGGAGAGTAATCTTCTCTATCCCGTGTTATGTCAGCCCACTCAGTGAGCCTGTGGGTGTAGGGTTTGGGATGTCACCAACTTAATTGTAAGCCTGCTTGTACTAAAATATACCCTTCTCAGAGTTTAGAGAAACTCAGAGGGCAGCAGCATGTGTGAGAACAGAAGGCATGAGGAAATCAATGGTTTCTTCATCTGAGAAAAGATTGTGTTTGTGAATAAAAAATAACCAAATAAACAAAAACAAGCAAAACCATGACACCACACAAGATCCAGTGTCAGAAGAAAGAAGTTCTGTTGCTTGGATTTAAATATTTCATTATCACAGGATAAGAAGCCTATGTCAAGGTTCCTCCATTCCTGATCTCTGGGCCAAGAGTTGGCCCAGCCTACACACAATTTGCATTTGATCCATGGGGCTGTAACTCAGAACACATGTGTACTCTGTGCAGAGGGAGCAAAGTAGATTTACTGGGCAGGTGAGCAGAGAGGGCAGAGCATTGCCATGTCCGAGCCAGAGTCCCCTGAGCAACAGGCCTGGTCCTCCCCTTTGCCACCTGAAGAAGAGCTAATACTACAGTGGGAGTCTGCTGTACCCAGGATTGCTCCACTGGAGGAAATGGGAACTTTGATCTGGGAATTAAACCTTTAAAAGAAGTCTGACAGTTTCCCTTGATCACACAGGGAAGGAAAACAGATTATTGGAGAAATCTGTGAATTTGTTCCTTAGTAGAGGTATAGTCTAGTCCATGACATTTACAGAAAGTATACACTCTATATTACCAAGTGACATCTGGTTTTGTTTGTGACTTCAGGTCACATCTTAATTTGATCTAGTGGAGTGTTGTGAGGG